ATATTTAGGGTTAATTACCTAATAGGTCCCTTTTATTTAGCTGTGTATTTGTATTTTAGCCATTGGTTTGGGTTGTTTTGATCTTTAGTTCAAATTTCTGGATCTAATTCGATATTTCCCCTTATTTATTTTGTTTAGAAAATTATGAGGTTTAAAATAGGGTGAATCACTTTTTAGTCCCTCATAGTTAGCCGCATATTTATATTTTGGTCACCAATTTCATCTTTTATCTATTAGTTTCGGTTTAAGTTAAATGTTTTGTTTTGTTTTATTTCGGTCACTTGTTATGTTGTTATTTATTTATTTCGAATTTTTCTATTGGGTTTTATTATTTTTATTTATTATTTTTATTTAGGTCACTATTTTAGTCATAATTTGCTTGCTTTTTTATTTTTATTTCATTTTGCTCACTTTATATTTCTGTTTTGGCTATTGTTTTTTATTTTAGTGCATTTTAATCCCTAATTGTTGTTGATCTATGTACTGGTTAATTACTGATTTTTATTTGGCAATTTATGCTCTGAATCATTTTGGTCCCATATGCGTACTGAATTAATATGTATATTTAGTCATGATGCATGATTATTTTTTTCTTTTCTTTTTTCTCATTTTAATTATTTTCTTTTATACCAAGTTACATGATTGATCGCATATGTCGACATTATTTTTGTCTTTCCTTTTTTGTGCGATTCAGCATTTATTTATTTATTTTAATGCTAATCGTTATTTGTATATATAATATGATTTATCACAATTTTATTAATATCTTTCCATTTTTTTATGAAAATATTATTAAGTATTTTTATTACTATTATATTTGTTTGACTTTGCTATATCATGTATATGTATATTTACTTAGTATTTATCAACCATGAGTGTTTGTATAATGTTCACCTTTATGTATTTATCATATTTGTTTTATGAAATGTTCTTTTGTCAATATTATGTGTATACTATGTCTTATTTGATATTAAAGTTTTTTTAGTGGTTTATTCGATCATTTCTGAGAACATCAATTTGTAGAATGGGCGTGAAAATCATTATTTGATCGAAGTAGTGCGATCCGATACGACATTCGAATAAAATGTGGACTTGAAATAAATAGATTTTATTTTGCTAATTAATTCATTTTTTATTTTAAGTTGAATAATTCAATGCATGTTTCCAAATAGCAATTTATTTTATGCAAATTGTCGATATTTATTTTATATTCGATTTGCGTTTCTCGAGGAGGGAATATCCTTTTTAGTTAAGAAATATGAGAGATAGCATTCCCATCGGAGGATGAGCAAATCTCAATATTTTTTCGAATTAAAGGATTTTCCCTAATAAATAATTCGAAACAAATTAATCAATGTTCGATAAATTGATCACATTTTAACTGTATATTCGATTTATGATTTCCATAATTTACAACAACGTGTAAGCGATTAAGTATCAATTTTTGGGCGTTGTGGGTGGTGCCTCACGCGTAATCGACTCGAGGACCCGTTAAATCAATTTTTTTGGTAAACGCAAACCAACTGTTATCTTAAAAACGTTTTTTCTTAAAATTGTTTTAAAATACGCTTTTAGGTATTCGACATACCTAACTCAAAGGTCGATGGTGACTCCCTTTCCATTTAATTCAAATCAATTCAAAATCAATAATTTTTCAAAAATAAAAGTCATACTTATTTTTTTAAACTTAATTGTTTTATTAAAAAATGGTTATGACGAGTTTTTTTTCCTGGATCTTTTTTTTTCCTTAACGTTATTTCTCTATCTAGTGACCATATTTGAGGGCTGTTATTATCTTGTCCCTTCTCTTTTAGGTGATAAATTCCCACTTGTTTCCCTTTTCCTTGCTGCTTAGTATCTTCCTTGAGATTCTCCACACCTTCATGTTGTTGATCTCCATTATCATTGTTTGTTTCTTCTTCTAGTATCGTGAATCTCAATCCTCCACTCGTCTCATCCTTCCTTGGTTCACAGACGTGATGTTGTTTTCTTTCCTTGCCCGTCGTCTCCTACTTTTCGCTATCATTTAGGGACCATAACTCTCTATCTGTGCCTGATCGTTGAAGTTTTGTTCCGTTTGGTTTTGATTTTGGGTTTCCGTTATATTCATGTTATTCCTGATGTTGTCATCCTTGTGCTGATTAGCCTTACCACATGTTTCCTTGGTATGTCCATACACGCCGAATCTATAGCATATAAGTTGTAACCCCTCATAGTCCAATTTCTGCACGAAACCATCAATTCCTATGCATGGGAGTATTGGTTTGTTCAGGTCTATTGTAACGGCTAATCTTGCAAATCGGCCTCGCTCACCTTTGCTTGTGTTGTAATCTACTTTCACTACAATGCCTATCGTTGATGCGATCTTATTAAATAAGGCCTTGGTATAGTATCGATATGGTAATCCCGATAATCTTATCCAAACCACCACGTGTGATGGATGTTTTTCAGTAGTGGAGAACGACCGACTCCATGGTTGTACTGTTAGGTAACTCCCATAGACCGTCCAAGGACCCTCTGTTAATACCTTCGTATAGTCTTCCTCTTTCTCAAATTTAACGATGTAGTAACTGTTTTCAAGGACTACCACCTGGTATCTTCCTTGGGGCTGCCATAGGGTTTGTATCCTGGATTCCAGTGTTTTGAATCAGATATTTCTGCCCAGAGGTCTTACTATTATCGATTTATTCTTGCTTGTATCTATGAGGGTGTGAATTCTCTCGGACAATTTGATAGTAGGATAATCTTCGGACCTATCTATGATACAATCCCCTTCATTCAAGTCAATTTCTTCTTTTTCGATCATCATACTATCATGTTCTCCTACTTTTGATGTATTAGGGAAAATCCTTTAATTCGAAAAAAAATATTGAGATTTGTTCATCCTCCAATGGGAATGCTATCTCTCATATTTCTTAACTAAAAATGATATTCCCTCCTCGAGAAACGTAAATCGAATATAAAATAAATATCGACAATTTGCATAAAATAAATTGCTATTTGGAAACATGCATTGAATTATTCAACTTAAAATAAAAAATGAATTAATTAGCAAAATAAAATCTATTTATTTCAAGTCCACATTTTATTCGAATGTCGTATCGGATCGCACTACTTCGATCAAATAATGATTTTCACGCCCATTCTACAAATTGATGTTCTCGGTTACCATATTGGCATAGGTTCTTCTTCCAACTTCTGGCCCTTCTTTGTTGGTCGGTGTTCCTTTTTTTTCCATTGATAAGATCCTGGTTTACTTGCAGTTCCCCCATGCACACATCCTATGGGTTGTGTTGTTCTTTAGGTAACGATTGTTCTTTTGCGCTTTCTCGTTGTTCTTTGTTTCCGTCTTCCTTCAGATCCTTGTGATTATTAATTATTCCGTTCGTTATCTCTTTCTGACATGCGTCTCCTTCTGATGTAGAGTCTGGCGGTCTTTCGCTCCTTGCACCAAAGAGGCCTGTCGGAATCTTGCTATCGCTTGCTTTGGTGTTGTCGTTAAGGTTTTCCATTCCTTTCAGCTAAGGATTCAATTTTCTTCTGCGATCTTGAATTATGTTAAATAAAGTGTTTTTATCAATTACATGCGTAAAAGGATGAACATTGTAATTTTGTATTTTCTAATAAAGAATAATAATTACATTCTATTTGAAATCGTTTTAGTTCTAACTGATATTAGATTTCGAATTCGATTCTAAGCAACGAATTAATTATATGACTTATTGGATCTAAAAACTAGAATCTTTTGTATAATTGTGATTTAAGGAAACAAAAAGGAGTTAAAAATATAATCAAAACAAAATATTAACAAATCATCCAAATTGATTACTTAATCATTAATTTTACTACACTAAGTTACCTCAGTAGTTAAATATATGATTGTTATCTAGTACCAGCGATAACGGGATTATTTATGTTTTCAGTGTCAAATGATTACGAATCTTTAGAATAAATATTACCTTGTAATTACTCTAAATTAATAAAAAAATCATTAACTTAACCAACTAAACCTCAAAAAATATAAACATGGTGAAGGGACTCCAAATTTATTGGATATGCTTGGTGTGGAAGAGAATAGAAAGAACGTAAACGTGGTTTGGGTTAAAAGTCGTAGGAATTAGCTCATTCCCTCCTTACACGTACATGTAGTTGCCTCCCTTTGACTACATCGCCAATTTCTAGATTCCAGTATTCCTACAAATTGATCAATGATTACCTTTTTTTCCCCAATTGCTGTCCATTTTGTCGGTTTAGTTTCATCTACCTCCACAACATCTCGCCTAAACTGTTGGTTAATTAACAAGGATGGGTTTAATTGATTTCAAATTATAGGATGAGCTTTAGTTCAATTGATATAGTTTTATAATAATGTTAAAAAAAATCGGCATGTATTATTTTCATATTTATAAGTACGAAGAAATTTGAATAACTTAAACCGTAAAATATACGAGATACTTGGTGTTTATATAAATGTAATTAGTACCAGCTAATATTAGGATTTAGATCAATGAAAACGGGAGAGAAGAGTGACAGATCACCAATTAGTTTCTTTATTTATAAACTATATGAAAGAGATAGAGACAAGGAATGGGCCAAAAGTCAAAAATGAAGAAACGATGGCCAGATTACAATCTTTTGTGGGGACTCATTGGATACTTCACTCTCATTTTTATTTTGAAACGAAAATAACTATATATCTAATATATGTTGTTTATATTTTAACAATTAACAAAAAATAGAAAAAAGAAAACCATATGCATACATAAAATCACTTCTAGATAATCCCTGCAGTTGATATAAAATAAGGCCCCATGTGTACCTATTCCCTTAATTCAACTGTTACAATCATCTTATCTCACCAATTCATCCATAATATATATATGTATAAATAAGCTGTATATGTTATTGTTTTTCCTCCTGTTCATATGTTCAGTTCAGTTCATATATAGTTTAAAAAGTAATGACATGATTTTTCTGAAAGAATATATATTGACAATGAAGTTTGTTATTCAATCCACATCAAGTAAATTAAAGGTGAAATATTACATAACACTCGAAAGATTAAAGGTTCCTAGAAACTTTAATCAAACCTAAGAAAGAAAATCTGCCTGTAAATCTCCAACTTTTAATGGAGAGAAAAAAAAAACAAGGGGGAAGAGGGGTCAGTTACATGATTTTAGGTCAAAACCCCTCAAAAACCTCTTGAAGCTTTCATAGCTATGGAGAATCCAAATACAGCCAAGTAGGGAAAAATTAAACGTGGTCAACAAGTTATCACCACGAAAAACTAGTAACTAAACACATGGAAACCCTACTTTTCTCCCAAATCTGGATCCTTCAAGCTATGTTGATAATGGCAGGTCGCAGGCTACTGTTTCTCTCTTTTAAGGTTTGAGGGGAAAAACCCAACAAAAGATTAACTATAGAAAATCATCACTGATCCAAAAAGAGAGAGAGAGAGAGATGAAAAGAAATATGGTGGCAATCTTGTTTTCTCGGTGTGAACATGGTTTTTGCAGTTGTTGATCACATGAACTTCAGCAAAGCCAGTCGTAGGGTTTTCACGAGATCCTTCACTGTCATTGAAAACTCAGCTTTCATCTGCAAGTGATGATAATAACCATGGAATGTTAAAGGTTTTAGTCAAGGGTTTTTTTTCTTGGAAATTGCCTATTGAAACCTACTTTGGAAAAGGCAAAGCAAAAGCAATACCTGAGCAACAATGGTTAGGTCAAGAGTGGCTTGTCCAAAGGGCAAGACTTTGGTATTGAGCACAGAGAGATGAAGCAATTCGACTTGGTTTATGATGTTGGAGATGAACCCTTTTCTGTTCTCGCAGTGGATTCTAATCAGCACATCTTTGTCTGAAACTCTTGCTTCGATCTCAGGGAATGGCTTGTTGAATTGTTGACTCTCAAAGTTCTCATCGGAGGAAGATGTCTTATCGTCTGCATAAATCTGGGTTTTCTTCACGAAGAACACTGATTCCACCGCTTTCTTAGCAACTTGTTCCTCCAGTGTTGTCACTTTCTCTTGAAGCTGTTTCAGGTACTTGATAGCATCTCCAAGAACCGATGTCTTATTCGTCTGCATAAAAACATTAGACAATCATAAGGCAATGTCTAATTTCAACCTAAACTATACACCTATGCTGACTTTGTACCTTTTTGAGGCCAGGAATGAGTGCTGAAAGTGAAATGAACCTCTGGCTGAGCTTTTCGCGGCGCTTCCTTTCAGCTATGACATGATCTTGAGCATGTAGTGGAGTCCTAGTCAATGAACGCACCACCCTCTTTGAAACCTGTTCAAATTTAGGAAAACAATATTGGTCCTCTGAAATCAAAGATGGAAAACATACAAATATATGCAACTCAAACACCACCTCATTATTGTTTGGTTTGAGGTCGCAGTCAAGGCCGTGGTGTTGTTGACAGACAGCCGGGGGTGAATTGGAGTTGTTGAAGGATATTATATGGGAAGATGAAGAAGAAGCCTTTGGTGGGATGAAGCTCCAGTTATCGGTTTTGAGTTGTTTCATTGGCCTTGTGAACTCATCGTCCACTTGACGGTAAGCTTCAATATTGTAGCATGAAACATCGTTTTGGGAGATTTTCTGGCCAATGTTTGGATAAGACGAATAACTCTCGGATGAAAAGGATTGGAAATTTCTATCATCAAATGAATAGTTGACAATAGGCAATTGTGGGAAAAAAGTTGGATCCTCCATTTCCTGCAAACCAACCAACTTTCATAAGAAAAAATGTTTTTTTCCCCAAACAGGAGGAGAAAGAAAAGTGTTTTACCAGTTCAGATATCCATTTGCTTGAAAGGATTTCCATTAGAAAAGCTGTTCTTTTCTCTCTTTCCCCTGATTTCCTGGGATTATCAAACAAATCAACAAAGCTCAGATAACCCAACAAATACCCAGAAATTTTTTTATAAGAAAAATGAACATGGAAACAAACGAGATAATACTGGAGAGCTCCAGAAATCTTCCAAATGTCAGAAATTGGGAATTGAAAATGAAGAGCTAAGCTTAAAACTGGGAGTGTAAACAGGTCAGATGCGGAAAATAGGTTGTTCTCTCTCGATCAGACAATGGACTGAAAGAACCCATCCATTTGCAAAGTTCTATATACAGATTCTACCAAACGTACACGCTTCCAAGTATTACATTGCGTTCTCGGACGTGTGAAAATATATCTTCCATTTTTAGGTGTTTTAGTATTCACTGTTCATTTAATGGCGCTGCTTCTGGACCTTCCTTTTCCTTACAAATGGGTTTTTCATGTTAATATCAACATCGGATTTGCATAATTCTTTTGTCTTCATACTAGGTTGAAAAAAAACTTTAATTTATTATATTTTACTGTCATAATTCAATTTAAACTTCTGTACGTTTAATATATATTTTTCTATTTATTTTGTTATAACTTTTTACACTTTTTTTTTACATATTTGTATCGCATTTATGTTTTTTTTAATTAGTTATTTATCTTCTTTAACATGTTTTTTTTTATCTTTACTCATATTAAATCCATGAGTGGATGTTACATGTACTCATTTCTTTAGACAATATTAAAAAAATAATTTTTAAATAATAATAAAATTTTTATAATAAAGTTAACATAAATTAATAAATTAATATTTATAAATATTTTATTACTTCACTATAATAAATTTTAATTATTGTTTTTTACCTAAAATATTTTATCGATAATATATATAAAACATGAATTTAAAAATCTTTTGAATAGGTGAAAATATCTTTTATGAACCATTATCTCACTAAATTGACATAAAAATAATATTTTAGTATATTTTTAGATTGATCATTGGTATTTAATATGTTAATTGATTAATCTTGAGTCTCAACGTTTGAAGAAAACCTTTTTTTATGAGATAAAATAGGCAGAATTTATATTGGAAAAATTAATAATACTTTTGATGAATCAAAGTCATCTTGAAAATTACGAAAACAAAAGCAAATATTTTTCTTTAATTCCATTGAGATATTTCATTTGAGTCTTTAATAATGCCTTTTTTTTTCAGGTATAAAATATTTTAGTATTCATTAATTACCTTAGATCCTAAATAAATACGATTTTATATTGGTTGAATCTCAATAAATACATTTTTCTACAGTTTATAAATTCTATTTAAAGAGTTTTAATTTTTCTATCATACGATTAATAATTAAAATTATACATTAATAGAATATAAAAAGTCGGTACAAGAGTTTTGGTCTAAACTGTTAGCATTACAAGTTGGAATACTCGACCAAACGAACCCCAACCCAGACAGGGAAATTAGAAATTTTCACACGCTTCTTAATCTCAGTCTTAAACCGTACAAAACGTGTGAGCACGCCAGGAGTCAAAAATCACATGCAAATATTAGAACCCCAACCGAAGGTTCCTCGGGCAAACCCTGAAAGGGAGAGGAAAAACCTTGCTCTTCTCTCCATACACCCATTATATTCCTTCCATTTCTTTTTCAATAAATTATTCTATTCATCGTTATTAAATTATCATTATCATTATCATTATCATTGTTATTTTATTTTAATAAATAATAATTAATATTATATTTTCTTATTTTGATTATCGATCTTTAAAAATTGAGGATAGTGTTGACATATATTTTTTTTATTTTTCATAATTTCTTTTCATGTGAGTAGTCTATATTTATTTTTAACAAAATAATAATTCTAGTAAAAATGTGACACATTCCACTATCTTACTGGTGATACAAAATTAAGTTAAATATGCACTTAGAAGAATTTGAGTATGGGAATATATGATTGAATTTCAACATTTAACCATTACATTAAGCTTAATATTTGATATATGATTGAATAAAATTATATAATTTAAATTGTGATTGAAATTAATTATATTTATATTTATATTTATAAAGCACATTAATTCAAAATATTTTACAAAAATATATTAATATGATACTATTTTAATTTACCATCATGTGAAATTTTCAGCAATAAATATAAGTTTTATAAACTTATGTACTTTTGTTTAAGTTTTATAAACTTTTCCTCATTGATTTCCCCCCTGAGAAAACACCTCCTATGAAACATAATCAATGGATCCAAGCAAACTGATGACTGGTTCTGTGAATTCATCCACTGAACTCAATCTAAAACCCACGATCTTCAATGTCAAGTATTTGTTTTTTTTCCTCAAGAAAAAGCATTTTTTTATATTCTAGATCCCTATGAATCACCGTTAACCCCTATAGCCTACGCGATTTGTCACACCACTGCGCCAGCCTCAGTGTACCTCATTTCCAAGTAACCAAAACTTAATAAAACGATAACGTAAGTGACCAAAACTTAATAAAATGATAATGTAAGTGACCAAAAGTGTACAAATATGAAAGGAAAATGACCAAAACTTAATCCATGTATTATCTATGTGGAAATTATTTAATTTTAATTTTACATATTTACCGTACCACATCAACAAACCATTAAAGGTTTAACGACCGTTAACCTTCAACGACCATATCTTAATTAAAACAAAACAAATGTGACCAAATCTTATGTTTTTTGAATTTAGTGAGAAAAAGTTTATGAAATTCAAACGAAAGTGACCATTTTTGTAGTTTATCCTAAAAACAATGATTTTTTTGTGGACAATGGTTTATGGACATGATCATAACTGAGTCTATTATCATGAAATATTTCTCTAGGGATATGGTGATAGTGAAGAATGATGAGGGGAACAATAAATATCTCATTCAAGAATTAGACGCGAATATCCAACAAGAGGATATGTCTGATAACTATGTAAAAGACCATGTTTTAAGTCATTTTACTTAAGTTATTGATTGTCCAACAACCATTTTCATGGCATTTAGAAGAATTTAGGTCATGTAATTGCATATGGTGGAAAAATCTTGCTGCAACATAAATTTATTGATAAAATTGATGTTGCTGAGGAAAAGGGTCTTGTTGTGGTGATGTGGAGGAAATGAGAGTAGCTAAGGAGAAAACTTTTGTTAGCAATCTGGAGCAAAGGAAAAAAAAGTTTTGTTGCGGAAAAACTTTGCAGCAGTTACTGGGCGCAGAAAAGGATAAAGAAGCTAATGTCACGTTGTCAGCTATCCAAGGCTCACGTAAATGCTCTGCCTTGCTGATAATTTTGGGACCACTTGCCTGTTGCCTCATATTCAAGTGTAGGGCATGAAACCTAAGGCACAAAGGGAATTTTAAAGGCACAAAACCCTAGAAATTCCTACTATAAATATTAAGGATACCCTACAATGAAGGGAGCTTTTAGAGGATTTATTTTGAGCTTTTGGGAGAGAGGTGACAACACTATTTCGATCTTCTTCTTCCTTTCTCCATCTTTTTTTCGTGGTGTCCTCCATAGTTAAGCTTTAAAAGGGTAGCGGCTAGGTCTTCGAGAGAGGCTAGCTCACTGGAGTGGTTCACGGCGGTGGTTCTAGGTTTTACGACAACAAACCTTTGGGAGTTTTTCTTCTCCTTATGCTTTATTTTCTTGCTTTAAATGGGTTTGTACTTAAAGGTGATTATGGATGAACTTAGCCCCGCCATGAACTAATTTATTTGGTGTTGGTTTTTTATGGATGATATTTATTTTATGTTAATAGATGATTAAGTATTTTCATGTTTATAAGTTGTTTGCTGATTGTGTGTTTGTTAAAATGCTTAGTCTTGTAAGAGCTTTCGAGAGATAGCCATTTTCTAAGTATAGATACCTAATATCGAGAGATTTAGGTTAGATCTATGTGATCAAGGGAGCTAAACTAGGATATTTAGGTTATAATCTATCTCAGAGATAAGGAGAGGGTTTCAAACAACTAAAATGGATAGGACCTAATCGATAGGCTACTGCTGCAGTTCATGCTGAGAGGTATTGTCGTAGCAATAATTTTATCAAGTTCCTTACTAGAGATAACATTACTTTTGCTACAGTGTAAATTTCCTTTTTTTCCACACTTCATAAAATTTCATGCCACAACATTACTTTTCACTTGTTCATAGCTAGATTTTCTTTCATTGTTTATATCATTACACATAGATATACTTAGTGACACCCTTTTTTCTATAGCATCTTTTAAAGTCCCTCTAATCCCTATGTAGACGATACTCACTAACTACTGTATTACTTGATCAAGAGTGTATACTTACATATATTTTGCGTTCAATTTATAGTACTCACAACATGCATATGAAATGTGATAAAAAGTATAACATTTTCAGTTAAACGTAACCTAAAATGCTATTTTTTTCCTAATATTTTTGGTTGAACTGAAAATATTATGCTTTTTATAACATTTTTGGTTGAGTCCATTCTTTTTCGTTCCTTAGTCTTAAATTAATCTATTGTCTCTTAGGCTTACCCTCCACAAGGTCATTGATAATAAACTGGCCAAATTGATTTTTGTACGGCTCATGAGGAAGTCGATAGGATACAAAGCACTATTAGGAAGAATTACTTCCTCATACATTTCTCTTTAGATGAAGATCACTCAAGTGCACTCTTGGGGTACCTTAGATGATTTATGAAAGCTATCTAATCATTCAACCATGGAGTTGTCGCTTCTCCGTGATGGAGGAACACCCTTCGAAAATTATGATTTAGATTCGTTTGTTAGAGCTTCCCTATCATTATTTATATAAAAATGCTTAATGTAAAAATAAGTTTCAAAATTATACCTATGTTAACTTTAGGTGCTTAAAAAATTTCGTTAAAAACAAGTGTCTAACATTCTTAACGTTGCATTTTAGGTGTTTCGCTAAATTTGGCCGTTTAATGTCATGTGCCAAACTTATAAAAATTTAAAATTTAAAATTTAAATTTATTTTCTAAAAAGCCCCTA